TAAAACACTTTAAGCCAGACAATGAAGGGAAAAAATAATATTTTTTGTAGGTAAACCTGCATATATTCTTTAAACATAAATAAATAATGACTAATGTGTATAGTATATTATAATATGGGTTTATATACAGGGTGGTTTTTTTATCATGAACAATCAATATCTCATAGGGTTTAATAAGAAATTAAAATATTTTTTTTCATATTGTTGTTATACAATGTGATCTCAATTTTTCACAAACAATTTTTTTTACCCCCCTTCAATCTTAGTTTTTTTGATACCAACTTTTATAACTAAAATGGTAACATATATATTTTATCAACTTTTTTATTTGAGAATAATGTACTAAACATTTTGACTGGTCGATAAATAGTTTCGGATAACTATTTTTGAAGTTATTTAAGTTTGAAGTTTAGGGCAGGAGGAAAGGTGGAGTGTAGTGTTATTTTTATCTGCGCACATTTCCCAACCGCACTTCCCCTCCCATCCTAACTTGAAAACTCTTATAATTTTAAAAATAGTTATCCGAAACTGGTTATCGAACAGTCAAAATGTTTAGTACAATATTCTCAATATAAAAAGTTAATAAAAATATATACGTTACCATTTAAGTTTCAAAAGTTGGTATCAAAAAAAACTAAGTGGGAGGAGGGTAATATCAAACAAAATTGTGAAAAATTGAGATCACATTGTATAAAAACAATATGAAAAAAAAAATTTTAATTTCTTATTAAACCCTATGAGATATTGAGTGTTTCATGATAAAAGAATAACCCTGTAGTGACTAGTGTGCTGTGTGCATATTGATTTTATAGATTATGTCAATTAAGTATGATAAGTTGTTTCATAAATCAATATTTAGCAATACAAAATGGATTATGTATAAAAATACAAATGTCACCCTTTTTACTTCAATTATTAGGCAAAACTCTCGTACACTTGTTTATTCCTATTTATGATTCATTCAAATCCGCGTTCTACTGATGTGACATCATTTTATTAGGCAATTCATCGAAAATTTGAACTGTAATTTTTTTGGCGGAAAAGGGAAATTACGGTCCTGGCGGAAAAGGGTCATGTCCATATTATAAGTTACCTTAAACCAGCAGTCGGTTCGGGTGCGCAACATTTTCCGGCATTATTTTTTCTCTTACCTATTATAGCTGTTGTATGAGTGTATGACTATTGTACCTACAGCAGATATCTGTCTACGTTTTTTGTATACACACAGAATATCCCGAAAACGTAGCGCAAGTTTTACAGCAAACGGCAGGTAAATGCAACACTTTGTTCCGAATAATAAGTAAAAAGTAAAAAAAAATGCTTCAAGTAATAATGTCAAACGTGGGGAAGAGTATCAAGTATGTTGGTCGCTTACGAATCACGGGATTACGTCATCAGATGACGTCATTCATACAGCCGACTGTGTATATTATACTGTACTACTCACACAGCCGCAGGGGCTCGCTTATGGGTGGAGGACATCATATACATACACGCATAGTAGTATAATCGGCGATACGTGCACAAACACGGTATAAAAGTATTATATAGGTAATGTGTACACTGTGTAAAAGACATATAGGTATATACCTATCATTATCTAAAATATATTATTTATAAGCGCGGGGAGAGGACGTTTTATCGCGGTATTGATCAATTTTCAAAACATCTTTTTATTTACTATAAAGTATAGTAGGTAAATAAACATTACACGTGTATCAAACCATTTTTACAAATTACATGTCACAAGATTATTTTTTGTATTGGTGATTGGCGACTAACAACCCAATAGCGAACAGCCGTTGATGCTTATAAACAATAACAAGAATCATTTTGCTAACCAGAGCTATCACAGAGGAGCACATATACTAAACTTTTGGTATTCCAACTAGAAAACAAAAAAAAAAGAAGCTATGATAATCAGAGATGGGCAGTATCGATAATTGATACTTAGATGTATTTATGATATAAAATAGAAAAATATATCTCTATTAACTATTATGTTAACATAATATGTGTTGTGTAAAATAATTATTACACTACTATTAAAAATAAAACAATAGTACATTTAATTAAATACCTACATAATTAGACAAAAATTACAACTACTTATGTTGTAAAATATATTACAAAATAATACGTCAAACACATAAATAAATAAAATTATTAATTAATGCTGTATTAAAGATATATTTTAAATAGCATTTACTATCATTAATTTTTCGGAAATATCACCTCTCTAACAGCGATGAGGTCATATTTTCAAATAATAAACAGTATTTTAAATACAAAATAGCTTGGACCTCCGACTTATGTATTTAAAATAATAATTTATATCAAATTGTCCCACTCTAAAGATAACACATACCTGAAATACAAACTATAAAATATTTTACCTTAACTACCTAAATACTGGCTATTTACCACACTTGGGTTACTCCGTTTAAATTAAAGCAAAATTTACCCATAGACCCAAATGTGTCTCAAATTTTAAATATTTATTTTAAATACTTACTTACCTAACATATATATTAACATAGTTTTTTAGTTTTGACTCTATCAATGAATTTGTCCGTGTATTGTAGGTATGTTAATTTTTATTTTTACCGTAATAGATTAATTACAAGTAAAACTACCTTCATATTTTCGGTAACAACTCAAAATTGTTGAGATAAAAATTGTATTATCAATTAAAATCAAAAATTAATACTAGCTATGTTGTACACTAAATTTTGAAATTTTACCAATTCAAAAATAATTTTTTTGAATTGGTAAAATAATATATGGTATAATTCTTTTGTGTTCTCTTTCAAAACCAACCGTTAACTTGTAATTTTTAAATATGGACCAATTACTAGGGGGCTAAAAATTCGGTAGCAAATTGACTTCAGCTTTGAATAAATCATAACAGGGGAAGGGAATTAACCCAATCATCCTCGATCTGCGCCTATAATGATAAAAATAATAATTTTTATTTATAGAATAAATCTAAGTACATAATAGTTATAAATTTTACCTATAGAGCAATACATTAAAAAAGTGTAGAAGAAAAAAAATCAGTAAACAATAAAGTAGGTATATACATGTAGGTGTATGTGACTCACTTAAGATATATCATATATGTCAGTATTAGATATATGATATACTACTTTCAGTATAAGTTCATCTACGTTGCTCGTAAGGAAAAATTATGAATAAGTATAAGATATCTATTCATTATTAAAATTATCACAGATTCACTATTTTAAGAAAACATTTTTTTTATAATACAACAAAGCCATCGAACAAGCACAATGAACTATAAGAATACTACATCTCTCGGCCGTATATTATTTGTCAATATTATAATTTATAACGCAGAAAAAATCCACGCGTATATCACTTATTTATAATACAGGTTGAATTTTTCTTACAAGTTCTATGTCTTATATCTTATAACTCTAAAAAAAAGAACCTTTCTCAAATCATATAAATTTCATAAGTATGAATCAGGTACGATGCGTACTTGATTTAAGTATGGTGAAATATTTATCAGTTTTCTGTACGCCTATTTTATATACTTGTATTAACCACATTTTAGTGGCTCCAAGTCTTGAATTTCGAGTTATTCTAGTTAAAACTTAAATCACAATAATCTTGTTGAACAATATTTATTTAAGTGTAATTTTTAGTGACACCACACCCAGTGGTTTTAAAAAACAAATCAAAAGTCTGGTATTAATATACAAATGTAATAAAATGATACATCCAAGGATAGATTAATACGTTTTTGAGTTATTCGCCTCATGTAATTAAGTCAATAAATACATTTTTGTAAAGTATAAAGTAATTAATATGATAAAATAAATATATAAATACTTTTAGTTTGTTTATATTTTTTAGGTTGTGGGGGAAATGTGTAGAAGGTATGTAAAAAACACACCTGAATAAATGAAGAAAAACTTCACCTATTAGCTTGTTTCAGCTCCTTTAGTTGAGAGTTTTCAATGTCTTGTACATATTTATTTTGTTAGGTTTGCACAATAACCTAGTTAACTATGAAACAATTAATTTTGTTAACTTATAGGAAGCGTGATATTCAACCTGTGTTTTAGTTATATTTTATTATATAGACCGATTTATTATTATTTGTTGATTTTCATACGCAAAGAAGGTCGATTTCATTACATCAATATCTTAATTTTTTTTTAACGCGTTTTCTTTAATACCGGAGAAAAAGTTATCTCAATATTGTGCTCATCAGAACCCCTCCTTAGCCAATTCGAGATACTGCCTTTTTTACTGGTAATACAGAAAACACGTGTAAATACATCAGTAACATTTTTTTTTTTATTGAGATACGACCTTTTTATGTTGCGGACTGGGGTAGATATATTAGTTGTATTATTATAATAATAATAAGTAATAATTTAATAATATATTATGTACATTATTATGATATTGTATTATTTATATTTGTATAATTTTTTTAATTTTCCTACAGTTTACCTTTTCAGTTGACCAATGGTAGCTTATTCAAATAAGAAATCCTCAACATTTATGATATATTAACTATTATGAACTATTTATAAATAAAATATGCAAAATGTCGATTAATCAATAGTTTTCATTAAGAATTACATACATCTTAGCCAGCATACTTAAATGTATGTTTTTACTAACTTTTATTTTTAGTAACATACAATTTAAACGCAACATTTTTGAATTGATAATATGAAGTGTTTTACTGTAAATTATCATTATAAATTAACTAGTTTTTTAAAAGGATATCATACACTTGTTAAAACATAAATATATATGTATAATCATCTATTAAAATAATTACAGAAATAAATATTACCTTTTCAACTCCTAACTATATATTACAATAGAATAAGGTAAAGTTTTCTATTTAAAACTACAGGGTTTGGATTTGAATAATTGTTAAGATGATATTTAAGAAAAACGAAACCCCTTAATTTTATTTATACCAATTTTATTTTTATGTACACATATAAAACAAAACGAGCTTAGATCATATTTTGTAGTATAAATATAAAATATAAATTAATTGTACAATATTTTTAATTAAAACTTAGTTTATGTACATATTAAAAAAAAAACACATGCAAGACAGATTTTTTTATCATGCCAGTATTTACAAGCATTTAAATTATAAGTCAGTTTTTGTGTATATTCAGCTCAAACTAAATTCTTGTTCACCAAGTAACGCCACAATAATGTAATTATAAAACAAACAATCAAATCAAGATAAAAACCATTATAGTTGTTTTTGATACTACTATTCAATAAATGGTTATTATTTTTTTTTATAAAACTAATTTTATTATTACCGATAAGATATAATGAATGAAAATCAACATACAATCACTAGTTATATTGTTACCGTTAAGAAGTCAGTTTATAAAAATAATATACAACATAAAATGACTATTTGAAATATACATTTATATTATTTTAAAATTTGAAAAACAAAACAACATTGTTTTGTTAATATTGAATCAGTCACACACAAAAGGTTTAAACATCTTACTTTTTAATACAAAATCTTAAACTATATAAAATCAGTATTATCCAAGAACAAAATAAAGTAGGCATTACTTAACTGAAATAAATATATAACAATATGTTTTTACTATCGAGTTATTCTACAAGATTAGAATATTTGATAATCAAAAAAGTAGTTATTCATGTTACCATTTAATAATAAAAACTGTTATATTATTATATATTTACACTATTTATCCATTTCGAGAGCAGCAAACTGTTCTTCGTCCATTTCGGTTACCATTAAATTACCATCCGGTAATTGTAAAACGACCCTACGCGGACCGCCTACAAGAGGAAAAAGTTAGTCAGTCATTGGTTCCACAATAAAATTAAATAAAAACAATTGATATGAATAAAAACTTACCTCCAGGAGCCGGTTCGCCAGCATCGACTATTTGCGCGACTAACTGATCTTGATCTTCCTGTACTAACTGAGGAGGTTCTTGCGAGAAGTTTTCACTCGGCTGTATGACAACTTGACCACCTTGTTCTGTTGCTGATACAGGAACGTATTGACCAGTTTCGTTATCCTTCATGTACATGTTACCAGCATCGTCAGTTACCAAATTTCCTAAGTCAATCTAAAAAAAAACAACCATTTAATTTTGTTAATTAGTAACATAGTCAAAATATATAACAAATCGTAATTTTAATTTTAAAAAAATTCTCGTACCTGTTGGGGCATAATTTGCCCTACAGAATTGCCGAAATCGTCTAAAGCAATCATTCCTTCTTGATTTGAATTTCCTGTTTGAATTATATTATTTCCGTCTTCTGTAAGGAATACGCACTGTTGTCCGTCGGTCTCACCATTGCCTGCTAAAAGCACAGTTCCACCACTAGCAGCCAATTGCGCAGCAGAAACCTAAATTCATACATTATGTGTCATTTGGGGAGAAAAAAATTATTTTTAAAAATAAATATACGCCTACAAAATAGTACTAATTTGTTTTTTCAACTATCTATCATTTTTTACATAGTGTTTGGAAAGAATATGTTCAGTTTGAAAGTGCTCATGAATGCTTTCTATTTTTGTGAATAATTGCTCTGTGAAAGCATTCACTAAATAGAGATAAAAATGGGTTCAATTTTTGTAGAAGCATGTACACGATTTTAAGGGGGAAAAAATGAAACACAACTGAGAAGCCATTCGTTTTATGAGTTAACGCTCAAACAATGCATTAGCGCTGTTAAATAAAATACATCAAATTAATTTCTTTGAAGAAAAAAAAAACTAAAATTTAAAAATAGACTCTAAGAACAAAACTGTGAGATTTATTATTATGTTCATCTTTTTCTCATTATATTTACTTGATACAGCATGCCATCATCTCCAGTAATGGTTATCATACTATCTGCATCGTCGGCAGATAAAATTAGGCGTCCCGATTCATCAGTTAGAATAGCTTGTTGTCCAGCAAACTGTTGACTGGCTTGTGTCTCTTGCTGCTGCTTTTGCTGAATTTTGCGTGCCGGAACGTTTAATGAACTGTGTGATTTTGAAATACTGGAACTTACGTGCAATGACTTATTTCTGAAACCGATATAAAATAAATTTATATTATTAGGAAGTTATATCCAGTTAACAAAACACACACACACATTGATTTTCTTTGTTTAAAATAGCAGTGAAAACTATTATATATTGACTTTTACTTACGAATTATTTGGTTTTGGATTTGTTTTCTTCATGCGTAGACCTGAGTTAGAAGCGGCTGGAATGTCTTTGTAATTAACATAACTTTGTCTCGATTGAGTTTGTAATTGTGGTTGTGGACGACTGGTGTTAACCTTTTCTGGTTCGCTCATGGACACTATTGAACTTTGATTTCCGATACCACCAGAATTTGGTTCCAACTAGAATGTACAAGTGAGTGTAATTTAAAATAATTCAATCAAGCACATGAAAAATCTACTTACTTTTACAATTGTTGGTAAATTTTCATTTTGCCTATTCATCAGAGATTGATCGTCCATATTCATTAAAGACTTTGGACTTGATGGCGGTGTAGGCTCAGGCGTTTTTTCACCTTCAGCTTTCATAAGTCTTTTCCCAGTGGTGGGGCAGAGAGTCAACGGCCTGTTTGGACTATTTGGTGGTATTGAAATATCTGAAATAATTAACACAAATAAGGAATTTGTTTATTACAGCCATGACAAACTTTTGATGACAAATGTCATGATTATATTTTATACAAAAGTGTTCATTGTTATGATACGGTTCGAACCGCTGCTGTTGTGACCATTATAACGAGTTATTGAAAAAAAAATTATTAATAGTACATATTCACTAGGTATTTTTTTACTTTTTATTTCTGAATCAAGATATAAGTCATCAAAAATCTGTCAAGAACTAAGAAGAAATTTTTTTTTTTTTTTTAAAGAAAATTTAGAACCTTCTGATGGGAAATGGTCCGACAGGCCACCGTCATCGGGGTCGGACGCCGTGTCTTCCCAAAATTCTAACTGCTCTGGGGTGTTATTAGCGTAAGCACCTGGAAAATATTGGCCATGAACAGCAGCGATTAATTTCGCATTTATAAGAATTTATAACCGAAACACCCATAAAAGGCAAAACGTTATATTTAACTTAAATAGGCTAATTAATCAAAATGTGTACATTAGTAATTAATAAAAAAAATTTGTTATTCTATTAAAATTTAGTAAATAACTAAAAATAATATTGTTATACAGACTAGAAAGTTATTTTTTAATAATATAATCATACATCAAGCACAGATTTCAAAATAACCTGGTAATTAGTGACGTGGGAAAAAAGGTAATAGAATTCTTACTATAAACAGTGTGGTACCATTTCATAGCTTAGCACGACAGACAGTAGAATACACATCGGTGCTATCTATGCTATGATCAGGCATCCTACTGTTCACGGTAGATTCCGACGAGAAATCTGTTACAGCTTTTGTTGACGATGATTTGCTTATTATAAAAATACATATAAAATCTTTATGTTTTATACTAACAAAGTTAAAACAAACATCCGTCTGGTGGACAGTCACAACCGTACGTTCATTTGGCCCAGACATTAGTCAAATTTAAATACTTTGTTATATCAACACCTCCAACAAAATAGGTCATAACTCAGTTTAAAAAAAACATTTTTTTTTTAAACTGATAACACTTGTTTTCTGTATTAATGGCGAAAAAGGTAGTACCTCGAATCGACCAAAGAGGCTCTAGATAACACAACTGAGTTACGTCCTTTTTAGTTAGACGTGTTGATATGTTAATAATTAAATATTGAATTCTTTTAAACACAACCCTTTTTACTTATTTTTATTGACTACTTTTTTTTTTTAGTCAAAGCTTTATTTCAACTATTAACAATAAATAACTTTATATGAATGTAGTTATTATATTATTATAAATTAAGTTAACAGAATACAAAAAATTACTACTATTTATATAAGTTTTGTTCATTATCATTTCATGTTTAAAATATTTTTGTAAAAGTACTTTTAAAAAGATTTTACGTGGCAATCGGGTTAAACAAAACTATAAAATTAACCATATATATGAATAAAGATAAACAAATAATTGTTTTGTTATAAATCAATGCTACTATTGGTTTGTTAGTAAAAATACTCATATTTTATTTATAAATAAATAGTAACAGACATTAATTATAGTGAAATCTTTCTTTTTTCAATACTATTACATTAAATTAAATAATGACATATATAAACAAATAGAAGCTTGGTAGCAGTTAGTAAATTTTGATAAGATAAAAATTGACTGGTCTTTAAAATAAATTATGTTAATATGATGATATACATAAGTAAAATAATTACCTTGTTGGACTCTGTTGTTAAGAGTACGCCTAGGAACAAATGCCATATTACTTTGAGGTTTTATTCCGGGAGAACCCTGATGATGTTTCTATAACAAAAATATTGCATTCATAATTATTACATTACATAACTTTTATAAATGTTGAAGCAAAGGCGTTTATTTTTTAAATGTAATTTTGATATTGATACAAAGAATTATTGCCTTAAAATAATATTTAAACCTCTATTTAAAATTTAGAAACGTCAGACCTTTCTGTGTTATAATAATTATATTGTAAAAAAACATTTAAAACACAATTTTTTTTTAATAATTTAAAACAATAACATATTTTTCAATTCTTTGTTTATAATAATACGAGAAAACGTTTTAAACATTTTAAAAGCTTATCATTTGTCTAGTTTTTGATTTAAATATTAGTTTTCATTTCAAAAATTTCACTCGTTATCATTTTATTTTAACTACAGAAAATCAAATTAAAAGTCATTTTAAAGCAATTTTAGATTTATAGACCAAATAATTTATTAATGTTTAGAAAGGAATATTGTTGAGTTTTTATAAGCGCTGCTATATGAATAAGTTAATTAAATTAACTGTTATCGCTTTTTAAAAAATTAACACTTCATTAATGTTCATTTTTAGGCATTGCATGTGAACAAGTTCATAGTTTGAGTGAAATTTTTAACATTTAAATTTTCACCATTCAAAACTAACAAATATGTTATTACCTTCAAATGAGAAGGTATTTTTGCACAAAATCGATGAGAGTATTCATAACAACACCAAATTGTTTTACAAATAATTATTTATAACACAAAAAATAAGTTTAACTATGCAAAATAAAATACCTGAAGTAACGATTTTTCAAATTCAGGATTAGCAGCAGCTACTTTATGTAAAAATGGCCTAGGTTTAACAGCAGCTTGGATTTTCGTAGGAGGAGTAAATGGTCTGAAAAATAATAATAATAAAAAAAATTATCAAAAATTAATTGGTTTGCTGAAACACAATTTATTGGCTTCATCATTTACTTTTTAGCGTAGGATTTCATCAGAGGAGACGATTGGTGCACAGATTCTCTCGCTTTTGCTAAATCGAGAGTTCGTTTTTGTGGTTGAAGAGCTTGAGCCCCATCGGCATAGATGACTTTGCCTTTCTTTGGCTCGTCTCTATGTTTCATCATCATCATCATGCTCTGCGTTTTATCACTGTCGTTTAATCTGGTAAATCCATCGACACCAGAAAATAAATACATTCCCGACTGTGGAACTTGATTTGTTTCAAGTTTAACAAAACCTTTCATAGCTGCTAAAGTAACCTAAAAAAAAAAAAAAAAAGAATACAAATTAAAACATGCAACACATACATACATATATATAAATTACATACTTGTGTTAAATGAGGAGAAATTTGTAGAAGACCGACATCAGAATTTCTGTGCAAGTTATTAAAATGTGATAAATGTGTTTTAATCTTTTTAACACGTTCTTCTCGTTTTAAAACAGGATATACTGATGGTCGAGTAATACTTCTTGAAATATTAAACTTGATACGTTCTTCCATTGATAAATTACCTGAAAATTAAAATGTTATTTATTGTGGAACACAAATCAACCTCTTTAAAAATTAAAATCTTGTAGTTTTTACTTTTTAGATTAAAATGTATTAAAATAAACAACTTTTGAGGAGACCAATTTATAACAATAAAAATATGTAATATTTATTAAATGATTTAAGCGACACAAGATTTTTATGTAAGTTAATAATGTCATGGTAAATTCAAACGTGTTAATCATAATTTTTTATATAAAAAAAAATAGCCTACGACTTACTTCTAGATATTATTTTTCCTGAATTCGGATTGATATCATCATTTTCACTAACAGAAGCATTCAGTTTACTGTGCAACGATGGATCGTCCCAGTCTTCATCTTCAGACTCCGGATGGAAGTACTTTTTCTTTAAAACGGGAGTATCTTCATCTTCAACCTCGTCATCCATCATTACATAATCTCGCTTTAATACATTTTGTTGCGTTTTATTTTCCCCTGGGACTTCTTCGTTAGCTTTCATAGTACCACACCAATACTTCACATTATCCATAGCTTTTTGCTTACTACTACGAACTGGTCTCCTAAATAATATAAAGTAGAAATTGAAAATCTAAAATACATTTTTTTAATTATATATTTGTAGGTATTTAAAATATTTATTTATTGGAACTTTAGGAAATAAAAATGTTCAAAGCTTAAATGAGATAACATGGTCTGACAGTCATAAGTTCCAATAAGATGTTTCATAATAATAAAAAAACATTAGCTTAGTCTCTTGAAAATAGATTAAAGGTCAAACCAAATGTTGTTATCAACTTGTTACCAAATAATCATTTGGTCATGATCATAAATGGCTATCATTATTCTACTATTTTTTGGGATAAATAATACTCTGATAAGTTAGTCGGAATAGATATGTGTGACATTAGCCACTTGTTACTGTTTTCAATAAGTCAATAACAAATAAAAAAAATATAAAAATGTTTTTCCTGTATTAAAAATAATATTGCAAATCTGAATAGATATATATGATTATAAGAAAACTGCGCTTTAAGTCTATTACACAACGCAGTATACTTCAGTAATTATATTCTTCAATATCTTTATTTTATTAAAAAAAAAAAATCTAAGATAATGTTTTCCCTTATAATCAACTAAAATTGAAAATAATATTCTATTACAGTAAAACCTATCCAAGACAGAATAAAATCTTACCCTCCTGGTCCAATTTGCTCAACAATTTGAGGCAATACTTTGGGTTTGATCACACCAATATTTTGAATCTGTTCAATTTTTCGTGGACGTCCTGGGCCGGGTCTCTTCCCTGGTGTTAAAGAAGATCCGTTTTTGACCAAAGATTCTTCATATTGTTTAATGAGGTGTGCACAAGCAGACATATTATCTGCTGGTTCCCAAGTGTTTTGCTCGGGAGGATAACCTTCCCATTTTAATAAATACTCAAATTGTCGTTTCTTTTGATTAAAACGGCGAGCTACAACTCTTTCAACTATAAACTCTTGGCCAGATGGAAATTCTCCACTAGGTTTCATGCTTACAGGTTGTTGTCCTTCAGCCAAACTACCATTTGGAGACAGAGAACTTTGACCTAGCTTGATTATCTTGAGTAAAAAAAAAACACAAATAACATTTTTTGTTTTAAAATTCAATAGTAAAATATTCTTGATAGGTAATATTTACTTTATTAGGAATAGTTTTGGCTAACTCATCGTAGGTGTTTATAGTTTTTCCTGCTTGTATCCAACAATTTTTAACGGTATCCGGCAACAAACACCACATTTGATAAACTTTCCAAGCTTCTTGGTTTTCCGCTAGTAAAAAATTCAAAATATAATACTAATATACTTTTTTTTCTATGAGATTCAGAATTATTTTAAACACATACCAATTGTTTTGGTTTGAGAATTTTTCCATAATAAAAATCCAAGAATTTGGGGTTTGTTATCCTAAAATAATAATAATACAAAATGTATAACTTAAGCAATACATAAAAAAAAATTTTAAAAAAAATATTATTAGTGTAAGTGTATAACTAGGTTACAATTGAAATATTATACAGAAGAAAGGTAAATAATTTATCTACCGAAGTATTTTGGTCCCGAAATGCTGATACTTTTTTGCACGTTCCATTGACTTTGTGGTCTTGGAACTCCTCTACAAAATGAAATCCAACGTGGCATACGCCACATACTAAAACGTCTACATTAGACAACTCTTGTTTAATAGCTATAACAGTTAATAACAAATTTAAAATCAAATTACATTAAATAATTATCCAAAAAATTACCTGTTCCATCTGTTTCAGACTCTTCAATTTTCGTAACTATTGGTTCATCTACTTCTTGGCTCATTATAGAATTTATATCTATTAGTCTATCTTTACATAGAATCAAAAATCTAAAAAATAAAACATACAGTTAAGATATTACCTACATTCTTTAATGAGTTATTAAAAAATAAATTATCATTAAGAAAAATTCTTATCTACATTCATATTTTATTTGTCAGCGACATATTGTCATCCCAACAATTTAAACCAGTTAAATATACAAATTACATTAAACAAATAGAATAGTGTTTTATTATTTTACGCCAACAACTAAATTATGTAACAATAATTTTAGACCTCATAAATATATTTTTTTCTTAATATTAAAGTACACTATAGATGTATTAGTTAATGGCTATATCTACTTAAATTTAATTTTAAATATATTATAACATAATATAACATAACAGCATAGTAAAAACAAAATTAAATATTTTACTGATGCTTATGGAAACGAAAATTATTTTATATGTGTAATTTGTAAGAGTATTATTGACTCTTTTAGAACGACTTGAAAAATGAGTCGTATGTACCTTATCAGTTAATTTTTCATTTTCATATCTAAATTACACACTGGCTATTACCATGTATGAACGATTTGTGTACTAAATAATTTCTAAGGTTTTTGTCGGAAATTTAAAATCGAATGTCTTATCACGGATCATTGATAGTTATAGACAATTGAAAATAACATATTAATTATAGCTCAAAACCTTAAATATGCTGTTGCATTAGCAGTAAACTGGTAATAAAAACAGCAGTACTTTACAAAATTAAAAAACAAGGTATTAAATTTGCGAAAGGTGTTTTGTTGTTCCTAAGCCAAACAACAATACGTCGGTATTTAGACAAATAATGTTCGCCGTTCGTATGCGTATGCACGCAATATAATTAATAGCTAAACGCATAATTACCTTGTCGTGTATGGAATCTTTTGAAAGGGAAAATCAGAAATCACATCCGAGTAACAGAATAGCTTTGTACACAGCGCAAATATGTGATGTAAAATTTCCGTTTAAACTAAACGAATGGCGCCATATTTACAACGGTATAATACACAAACCCAGCGTACGTGCAAATTTTATAAGTGGTGACACATTTTGAAAAACGCGCATAAATCTGTTATCAGAAAGTTCGGAAGTTCGAGGAAAAAAACAAACAAAACAAAAGACAATTATTATTACTAAACAATTTTATAACCTAAATGATATTCCGGACAATATTTTAAAGAAGATACACCGCATACAAAATCGAATAAGAAATGCGCGCACTCACACGCACGCACACGCACATACAACACCAACGCGTCTTTTTCGTTGTGCCTGCTTGCAACTACCGTAAAACGGGACGCTCTGTGCTTAAGTTGGTGCCTACTTGTTTCGTTCGAACGGGGATGAGTAAAAAAATTTACTAGAAAAATAAATTATCGGCCACCTTGGTGGGCTCGAACGTACTTACAAACGTCTACTTACTTATCTGGCAGAAAGCGCAATTTTCGTAGACAAAAATATATTATTTCAAAATTTTCTCTATAATACGAAACCGACGTCAAAATGGTGGACAAGGGCGGTTGCGGTCGTTGTACATAGGTAGCGCCTGAACGCGGAATGCCGTTTGTACGTTTTGACGCTTCCCATTGGCCGGCCGCGGTCACGTGGCTGCTGCATCGATTGCTTCCCACCTCCGACGCCACTCCGCCGACTACCGGCTGCTATCGCAATAACATAATATTGTAATTTATAACTGTAGATTGAAGTACAATATTTATGTTTTATACGAAATTCGTGCCCGTTATTACAGTAATGCTGTAGGGGGTTTAGCATTTTTTCCCCTAGGGGCTTGGGCCTACAAAACCCCTACACGGCCCTTACAGTCAGGGTCCATTAATCGGCAATAAGTCATACCGCACTATAATAGAGCCTAGGTCTAGCCATGTAGGTCATTGCGCGGGAAAAATTATTGACACTAGTCAAAATAAAATTGTTTAAGAGTAAAAAAACAAAATTCCAATGATGATTTTTTTTTACTTAAATTTTATTATGAATAATTACTGTTATTTACTTCTCATAATTCATAACAAAATAATGATTTTGTTACACATTTTATTACTGTTATTAGCTTATAAAAAAAGCACACTTTTATAATATATTATTTTTTACAAACAAATATTGTCTACTGTCTACTTAATCAGCCTCCATTTTTCAAAATTAATAAAGTTATTTCTCCCGTAATGTTATTCATTCAGCTAACGTACGAACAAAACTTAAAATGCTTTTAACAAATATTTTAACAGTCAAAACATTAAAAAAAACACTTAATTTTTCTTATTAAGACCGTTTTTACCAGTTTGGCTCAACATTTTTTATTAGTTAAAAAAATATTAGAATTATGGGCTTAATAAAATATTAGCTAGGCCAAATTTGTGAGAACGGTCATAAGTTTATACATTTTGGACACTTCAAAAACACTTGTATTGCATGAAATCAAATCGACTATATAAGAGTGGAAACATGTGATGGACTGAGTACATCCCCAATAAACGCCTCGCTTCTACCACACATGTTGAGAGTATGTAATTTTCAAATTATAACCTAGGTAGTATACACATTTAAAAAAAAACATCAATTTACTTTTATAAAACTGGCTCATGCTGACGTTGCGTCGCGTATGTTATATGAAGGGTAAACGTTGGCAATATATGATTAAAATCTATTGTTTTGAAAGCAATTTTAACTATGCTAACTTGTTTTAAAAGGACAAAATTATATTAATTTACTTTTATACGATACAACTATATTATGTTTCTTTTTTTCAGAGTAATGGGTTCAATAACCAAACGAGCTAACTCGAAAAATGATCGGAGAAAATACAGTTTTAGTAGGTATCAAGTTACTACGAGCCCAAAAGTCCATACTATGTGTGACTTGGCATAGCCCTCGGCCCACTCTCCTTAATACTTAATAGAGTAAATTAATAATTATTATTTACCTATTTAATAAAATAGTAATAATAAATATGTAAATGAATATTATTAATAAATAATAAAAATAAAATGGTAACACAGGATATCTGATTTATTAAATTTAGTCTATTTTGCGGTAACGTTATTTTAAATATTTTATGATTACAGTTGTTATCAACAATTCCTGATTTTTGAATGATAATAATTGATAATACATCTGGGACGGGGACCGCTATTTGAATTTTGAAACATATTTATTATTTAATATTATTTTCATGACGCCATTTGCAGGACATTAAAGTGGCCGTCGATCTTAAAATTATTTTTTACTAGTAGTTTTTTTAGATTAAAAGGGAAGGAAACTGAAGGAAAGCTGATCATTAATTTTTTCTTGTTCGCAGGTGATCATTGATCGCAATCTACAGCCCACATTGAACTTTATTATTTAATGACAGATGATATCAGCATTCAGCCTATTCTACTTATGTTATTTCATCTTTATTAAAAAATGACCTTCGGCATAGTTATAGCTTCAACATTTTAAGTTAAAAAACTTGTTACTGTGGTAATCGTCAATTTTCGGCGTGACATATTTTTATATTAACAAAATCCTGTTTTGTGTTGTACCTACTATATACATATATTATATACGTTGTTACCTAAGTTACAGCAACTATTTAACATTTTTCAATGATCTTAAAACAAATTTCTTTGTATACTAAGTATATTCTTAATGTTTTTACGCACAATTCGACATTTGACATTTCGAATTTAATGTACATAACACTTTAATTGAAGGGCTGCGGGGAAAAAAGTTCAATGTAATTTTTTTTTTGAAAATGAGATTTTGGTATCAAATTATTTATGTATTGATGTATTGTATCTTTTATGCGCTCGAACCAGGGAAAAAAATAGATTAGTCGAGAGTAACGACCGCCGGAAGTTTAGGCGTACAGGCAAAATGTATAACGTTTTGAAATTAAAAACATGATTTTCTCAGAATGCTAAAAAATTGACATTGATCTTTTTTCCCCGCAGCCCTTCAATTGTATACCTTCTGCGTGGCTAGTAATTAACACTCAATTATTATAATAATATTTGTACTCTCCCCATAAGGGCGTCATTAATAAATAAATAAAACACATATTAAATGATTATTAATATAATGATACCAGTCGTATAATCATTTTTATCGCCTTTATAGAGTAACCGTCGGTTCTTCTTCGCTAATTTACAAATATTATTATTATTAATTATTAAACATTTAATTTATACACTCATGGGTTGTGATTTACCATACCACCTACTTATACGTAATCATTCTGTACCTACTGATACTATTTTATTAAAAAAAATACCGTAATAGCCATATGTAATATATGATTAATTAATTTAATGAGTTAGTATTTATTAGTTAAATCTAATAAAAAATTATCATTACTTAAAAAAAAATTGTTCGTTCAATAATAATTATTCACTAATTAATTATTATTTAACTATTATACTGGTGGTTCTCTTAATAGATTATTAAACCCATCTAACAAGTATACTTATTTCTACGTAGTACATTGTCAGACATATTTAGAAAAGACTTAAATTATTAGTATCAACTAATTAATCTCAGAGCGTTAGAAATTTGAATTTACAAAATGATAAGAAACAATATTTTTTAAGAATAAATTCTGTGATATGTGTTCTGATAAAAACTTTTGTGTTCAATATTATTACATTAGTTAAGACTTAAGATTTACAAGTAGGTATTGTTTTATTTACACGTTCTAAAGAATTTTATTATTTCTAGAGTGAACTGTAGTAATATTTAGTTTTTGTCTCTGTTTTATAGAATTTACTAACAAATCGAAAAAATTATAAAAAAACATTGTAAAACCATTAGCTTAACAGCTTAGCATCGAAGGTAAAATACTTTTTTAATATATTTAAATTATTAGTGCCTTAACTCACTGGTATGGAGTCAGTTTTAAGAGCTGAAGTTTTGCTAGATTTTAACCAACTTTGTACATTTAATTTATGTACAATACACAATTCTTCTTTATTTTTTTATTAGGGTTTTCAATTTTCATACACCACGTAAACAAAATAATAATTTTACGTAGTAGTTTTTTATTATTATTTTACATACCATTAAAAAAAAAAAAATTGTTAATTTGGTATTTATTTATAGTTGGTATATATTAATATTTTACATTAATCGTAAGCATTACTCTAAATATTACATCGATGCAAATAATATAAAAGCTATGTAGTATACATTTTTATAGTTAAATAATTTATATTAAACATAGTAGCATTTTAAAGCATCATGAATGGGATTTTTTTAACTTGTCTACAGCTTCTAGTCTTGCATTTAACGACTGCAAGTTGGAATTCATTTTCGTCATGTTTTCGGCAATATGTGTTTTAATACTTTTTAAAAATACATTATTTTTTTCGATATTTTCTGAGTTCTCTGTGTATTGAGCATCCAGATTACTTATGGTTACAACCAATTTACTAACTGAAATGAATAATATACAGAAATTATAAATTAATTATAAAACAAATGTTTTTATGTAAACGTATTACAATAGTTTATAGTTGTTTTTATTAAAAAGCTACAAAACAATATCTCACCTTTTTGATGAAGAGATTCTAAAGCCACCATTCTTTGTAAGACGTCTGGTAATAAATGAGATTCTTGTTTCGCTTTTAAAATGATTTCATAGAGTTCATTGATTTTTTTGTCTTTTTCAACATCTTGAACATCTAGTTTTGCTGCAGCTTGTTCGAGTTTTGGTAATAAATTGGAAACTCTAGTATCCACAGCGTCGAGTTGAGAAGAATTTAGAACTGAGAGTTGGCCTACTAATAATCGGACAGCTTCAATTAAACCACCGCTTTCACAATAACCCAATCGTTTCTGTGAAACAAACCACAATAAATATTAAACATTAATATACAAAATTATTTTGTAATACAAAAAAAAATTTGCATCTTAAACCTTTGAACGCTTACGTATTATTTTTTTTACTTTGAAAGTACATAATATTTATGTGTACTACTACTTAAGTAGATTCAACAATGAGTCTTGTGCAATAGAAGGTCAACGACTAATTGTTAACAATAAGTTATACGACTTTGTTATTTTATCTTTAAATATACTTAACATTATGTATGAGATAGATGGAGGGTACAAAAGCATACGACAAACATGCAAAAAATAGTATAAATGTATCAGTGTTCGTTGCATCGAGTGGTAAGCGTTCTAGCATTAAGTGAAAAAGGAAAAACTATTAGATGTACAATAGGAAAAAAGCATGACATTTTAATTTTTTTATTTTTATCGAGACAATAAAAAAAAACTGCATAATGAATATGTGCTATTGAGTGAGTTAGAATTTTTTTGAATAAAAAAAAAAAAAATACACGTATATTTTTTTGAACAAAAATTTGTGTCATCAGCCGAAGCTTTAATTGCTATAAAAGATGGCCAAAATGTATAGCAGAATGAAAAAGGCAATACAACTTTTTCAAATGAACAAAAACTTGAAATTACATATCTCATCCAAAAGTTGATAATCTTTAAGCAGCCTGTGCAAAACTTATTATTACTTAATACTGCGTTGATCAAAATATTAAATTGCAGTTTATGCAACTTTTCTATTCTGTCATGTTTCATACCCTACCAATGCCAATCCGCCCGATCCAATGATTGACTCTAATTTTCTTAAACGCTCTTCTAGTCGAGAAATGTGTGACACTTGTTCTAGCTGAGCTTTCTTCGGTCTGATTAAAGCTTGAAAAATTAAAGCTTGCGATGAACTTTCATTTTCATTTTTATTCTTATTTTTGTCTTTTTCATCCGGTAGATTTTTTAACATATCAGTAACTGAAGCAATGTATTGTCTGAAAGTAAGAAAAAGAAATATTAAAATAATTATACCATTGATTTTATAACACACAGATCAACCACTCTAAGCATAAAAACGGGTTCCGATCTCATGTGAATTTTCCACTTTTATCATTTAAGATTTTCTTCGTCGATAGGTTGGTAATTAAACCAACATGAAATCGGTTGCCGTTTTGTGTTTAAATGGTTTATCCGACCTCTGGACTTTAATTAATATATTTTATACTTATAAATTTCAAACTATTTTCATAAATTGTTATTTATTGTATAACTTAAGAGTACAAATGGCTTACTGAATGGCATCTATCTCAGAAGTTCCTAAATTTCCAACTTGTTGTTCAAAAGACTCATCCACGTTTATAGTTGACAGCTTTAGCATAACATCTTGAACTTGAGATCCAATACTAGCACATAACTGTTCATCGGGTTCGTTTTTAATCTCCTAAAGAAAATGACAAGTAGAAAAATAATAACATATATATATAAATAACAATAAATTACACACGACTAACTTTTAATGTATTTATTTCCTGAACTAATTCTTCAGTTTCTAACTTAAGTCTATAATACTTTTCTAAAGGTGTTTCCTTTTCTCCTTGTGCCCCTAACTCCCAATGTTCATTCCTGTAAATATTTAAATCAATAATTAAAACATTATTTAATAAAAAACAAAATATTATAATTTACTTTGATCTATAACCAGTTTTTAATTTCTTTCCCAGTTTGTCTGAAAAATCAATGTTATCTGCACCTACAATTTGATTTTTGAAACGGTCATAAGCTTCAGAAGTATCAATATGTACTCGATCAATATCTTCATTTTCCTATAAAATAATAAAATAATTTTTAAACGCTAACTTTTTTTTGAAGTTAGAAAACTAAAAAGATGGACAATTTGTTGTTACCTCTTCCATATAATCAAGTTGCTGATCATCCTCAGGCAAGTCGGACGTCTCATAGACATCTGGCTGGTCATAAGCCTAGAAAACAAAAATTATAACAGTCAAATTTTGGTCGGTAACAAATGTTTATATTTTTAAATATAAATATTATTAAAAGCTATGGATTTCAAGAAGTTATTTATGCGTGTGAAGTATGTTGGATAAATTGAAAATAAGAACTATTGGACCATAATTATGTATATTTAACAATCATACATTATACCTCCAATCAGTATTTTAAATAGAAGTAGGAGGTTAGAAATGCATTCTGACTAAAATTTACAACTTTGCTATAAACCAAAATTTGTGTTTACACCATTAGAAATAATATGTTCTAAAATAGTTCAACATCTTTTGATCTGTTAAAAATTAAAATTTTACTTTAATAAAAAGACAGTATAATATTTGTTACGTATCAGCAGTTTAAATATATATGGTGGGATTGTCCACCATACGCGAGTGCTATACCGGCACAACTTGTCATTAGTGTAATTTTTACTTTCATACTAAGGTATAACAATATTATTGTATTGTTACAGTTACACAAAATACTAAGATGGTCTTGTATTTTTTTTTAACACAATCACTGCGCGGAAATTATATGATACCACGTTAGATGCATGTTACAATTGATAATCATACGGGAATGGCGGCAACTTTTTTTTTTTGTTTTTCTGTTCAACAAAAACCCAACAATGCTATTTAAAAACAGATTGGACCAAAGTAACAAAGAATTTTTTAAGCAATGCGTGTGTAATAATCAAATTTTTTCCCGCAGTGCGTTAACATTTCATATAATATACTTGATGTCGGATATAGCTGACAGATGCACTCCTGAAATATCTAGGTGTCGGGTATAGCCAACAGGTACAGTGAATGTGTTAATGTCAATAGGTGTTTCTAGTATGGGCAAATTAAGTGTACTATAAAATTACCTATTCAAAACCTATACAAAAATAAGTATAAAATGCTATAATTATTGCTTGACAATCAAACTTCAATAAAATTAATTTTTCATCTCTAAAAATAGCAAGGGTACTCCAATTATTTTGAAATCGGCAAACACATTTTCTTTGTACACCCTGAATCCAAACAATCACTAATAGTTACATTGCATTAGCTTTAAAATACAATATTATTATTTCCCATTGACAAAATATTACGAATAAGATGAAATTGGAATCTAAGTATAATTTATTAATTGAAATACCAAAAATGAACTATCAAGATTGGTAACTAAATTTATCTGACAAATTTCAGTTGCTCAATCGGGTTTTACATTAAAACGCTTGCTAGAAATAAAACAAGGTGTCTTAAAAAGTGTATTAGGTTTAAATAAAAAATGTAGCTATAAACTTACGATACCGCTCAGATGAGCGTATTTGGAATCGACAGTCATCTTAAAAACTGTAAAGCGATGACGAAATTTAAAAAAAGAAAATTTACTATTAAAAATTAGTTGTAAAGTTATAATTTAAATATTAAACAACTTATTTTATTTTAATTAAATTAAAAAAATTTAGTTTAAAATTATTTTTTTATAAAATCGATTATTGAATGTTTTTACTTATTTTTGCCAATCTCTGATAAGTGTAACTGATAAGTAATTTAATACGTTTCATAACATTGGTTCTCAAAATAATTATTTAAAACTGACCTATTGCCAACTAAAATAGATTTATTTAATAATTATTAATATGTATTATTATTAAATAGTACACAATATATAAAATAATATACCGTTTATTAAAATTCAACCATAATTTAGCTGGTTTTAATATATTACGAATAATTTATTAACCAAAAAGTTACATTTAAATTGTGATAATAATAATGTGAAATATCAATATTTTTAAGCAAGTGTAAACAATACACAGCTGCTTCCTATGAAGAAATATAAATGGATCAGTTATCACTTATCACTTTGTAAATTGTAAACTGTAGTTCTATGAGTTCGTGCAAACAATATTTATAAAGGTATTTTTTGTATTAATTTAGTTCTTATTATTTGAAATTCGAAAGATACATATTATTAGTAATGAATACAAATTAATACTTTATAGTATATACTACTAATAATAATTTATTGGTTTTTGTTTGATAATTTTAATACTAGTGTTATAATTTATAAATCTGGATTAGTAGCTTTCATTTTTGGCGCTAATAATTTTGTTTTAAAATTGACAATATCAAAATATGACATTATAGCGATTGACGTAAATAGTAAAAATTTGTGTGATTAAAATATACTAAAAACATCAAATTTATAATTTATTTCATTTTTATTTACAGGAAGGACAGTTTAGTCATTTGGGCGTTAAAATGAGTGGTGGGCGGCAGCGATCATCATTCAACGCTCATTCAAATCAGCCAACAGCTGATTCTGGTATACATGGCCAAGCGTATTTACTCGAAACTCTGACTAATTGTACAGATCCTTTGAAAGCTATTGAAGAATTTCAAGTCGACAATGGCATTCATTTACCCTCACTCCGACAAATGTTGCCGCTTCTTGATCTGCATGGTTATCGACGTCTAGATTTTCATAACTCTATATTAGAAGCCCTTCGTGACAAACTGGTTGCTCACATTGAAGAAATTGGTAAAAAAGAAGGCCGCGATAGAGATCGTAAGCTCAAAGACATGTTAGCTAAAAGTTTTCCTTCTGTTCACATTAAACAACTGAGACCAATAATCATGGCTATATTAAAAAACATTTCTCATATAGACGATAAGTATTTAAATGTTTTAGTTAAGGATACTGAACTATATAAAGATACGGATACCGAAGTAAAACGTCAAATTTGGAAAGACAATCAATCGCTGTTAGTCAACGAAGTTTCTCCCTTACTTACACAATACATTAGAGAAAAAGAAAACATACTGTTTGATCATAATAATTTGACAAACTTGTTCTTTACTCCGTCTCCTAAATTAAGACGTCAAGGAGAAGTTGTGCAAAAGTTAGCTCATATGATTGGTTCAAGCATAAAACTCTATGACATGGTTTTACAATTTTTAAGGACATTATTTTTGCGTACACACAATGTACATTATTGTACACTTAGAGCCGAGCTTTTAATGGCTCTACACGATTTGGAAATCCAAGACATCATATCCATTGATCCCTGTCATAAGTTTACGTGGTGTTTAGACGCTTGTATACGAGAACGTAATGTAGATGTCAAACGGTCACGTGAACTTCAGGGATTTTTGGACAGCATTAAACGGGGTCATGAAACTGTACTCGGAGATCTGTCCATGACATTATGCGACCCTTATGCTATTAACTTTTTAGCGACATCGACTATCCGTATTCTTCATCACCTAATAAACAATGAAAATCTACCTCGAGAAAATCACGTTTTAGTATTACTTTTAAGAATGTTATCCTTAGGACTTAGTGCTTGGGTGATGATTGATACTCAAGACTTTAAAGAACCAAAACTTGATAGTCAAGTAGTGACCAAGTTTATGCCGGCGTTAATGTCATTAATAGTGGACGATCAGGTTAGATCGTTAAATACTAAAATGCCTCTCGATGAAAGAGAATCTGCTATCACAATTATCGAGCATTCTGGACCCGTTCCGGACGCTGTACAAGCATATATTCAAGAAAGCAGTGTTGCTTGTACCGTCGCTATGTACTACACATTGCACGTAGCTAAAGCTAAAGATAGATTAGCGTTAATGAGAATTTTAGGGTCGTTGGCTAGCTGTGATCATGACCGTGCGTTCGAAGATCCGTTCCTTCATTTTCTTGTAGCTTTATTGATACAGCAAGTCGATGAGTTTGCAGCAGAAGACTTTTGTACCGTTATATTTGATGAGTTCTTTTGCACGGGTCTTAACAGAGAAAACGTAGTTAGACACGTTTTAAAATTAGTATGGCATGTTTATCCTAAGTTACCGCCTAGTAGACTGAACACATTGACTAAAGTCTTACAACCGAGTCCTTCGCATGATGAAGCTGTGCACAAGCTGTACAATGATTTTGTCGAGAAGATAACCAGCGATACAGAACCACCACCAGAGCCACCCAGTTTTGACTATTTAGAATCGCCACTGATGAGTGTACCAACGCCTTCACATTACTAAGAATAAACGAATAGAATACGCATAAATATTAAGAAGTTTTAAGTTTTGTACACTAAACAATGTTTTGATATTTATAGATTTTAGCATATGTGCCAACATAAATAAGTATTGTTGATTTTAACTTTAAACATTTAATACAAAATAATAATTCACATACATTTGTAAAGAACGAAAAAAAAAAATATATATATATATAATACTGTTAGGTATTTGATTTTTATTTTATAAATTTATATGAACAAAATATATAATGATTTATGCAATTTCTAAAGTGGTTTTATTTTCTTTTGTATTGAGTTGAACAAGTGATCCGTTTGGAGGTCTTTCTTCATTTTTGATCCATTTTGTAAACAACCTAAAAAGCAAACAAAAATGGTAAACCAAAGCTTTGCAGCAAATCTAAACTATGATTGAAAATGTACTACCATTGAGTATATATTGAGTTCAAAATATATAATATATACTCATTGGCACTATTAATAATTCATAAAATACACACACACATGCGAATTATACTTACTCAGCTACAAATTCTAATGGCGTCCATGTAGATGTATCGGCTTTGGGCATCCACTTTCGATTCATTGGTGTATCTAGAGTAACTGGTAGAATAGAATAAGCTTGTGCTCCAGCAGGTAACCCACCATTGCTATCGGCTAATGACTTCGTTAACTGATGAATTGAAGCTTTAGCCAAACCGTACCCAATCATTCCCGGTGTTGTAGCTAGTGCAGCTTTGGCTCCGGTCAACACTAATATACCACCAGGTTTTAAGTACTTGGATGCAATAGAAGACGCTAATACTGAACTCCAAACACTTTGTTTTAACATAAGATCAGTGTTCTTTACAAAATCTATATTAAATACAAAAACAATTTGAATTATTTTTTTTTAAACTTTATCATGGAGCTAAACAGTAGCACAACTACTCAAGTACTAATATTAATAGTCATATGGAGAACCTTTCAAAAGATAATAATAATTTTTTTAACTACCCCATTTATAAGATATTTAAGAAATTCTTCACTTACCAGCCGAACTGGAGTTGCCACCGGCCCAACCGCCGGCTACACATATTACGGCATCCAATTTTTCTGATCCCAAAACTGAATCAAGACTTTTCAAAATTGAAACCTCCTACAACAATACAATTATATATAGATTATGACTTAAAAAGCAAATAAAACTTTATTTTTTTACTTGTTCGATTAATGAAGCATCACGATCAACTAGTATGTTTGCGTTGGCAAAATCATTTTGTTGTAAGTCAATAGATCCAACCCACTGTAAAAAAAAATGTTGAATATTTTTTATTTCCTCGAGTACTCAAGTACTTAAAACAAATAACCAGTTAGCAAACAAATTTGAATATTTTAATTTATTAATTTATCTAATAAATATTGCTTACAAAATATTATATTAATATTGTATGGCATATGCCAACTAAAACTTACAAATTTTGTAAACTAAAAATGATTCATTAAATGTTTACATTTTTTTTTCAAAAATATAAATTAAAACAATTAAAATTGAACCAGATTTTGTATTAAACTTTATTAGGAACCCAACATTTTTTATTAATACTTGTCTGTTAGTTTAGGCTATTTTACCCCTGTTGGAATTAACCTCTGTTGTTTTATTTATAAAAAACGGTAATATTATTATTTTTTAATAAACATTTTAAACTGTTTTTTAATGTTTTTTTACATTATTAAATCCCAAATAAAAAAAAATTTTCTTTAAAAAATAATATTTTAACTATTGACTATTATAACTTATGAACGATGAAAATAATCAATAAATAAATTATAAACCATGGTCATAGAGGAGGATGCAACATTCAGAGCAAGAAGGGGATGTTTAATGGTATAGTTAATAAGTAAGTTTAAAGTGTTCACAAAGATCTACCTAATTTTAATCTAATTTTAATGACAAAAGTAATAATAACAATTTTATTACAATTTGTTGTACATTTACCAGATTTAGGTAAATAAATAAAAACATACAAGTTTACACCCTTCAGTCGTAATAAAGTTTAACGTTCACAAGAACTTAAAAATATAACTAAAGTAGTCACTGCATGGTTCAATATCCATCAAAATTATAATTTAATTAATAATTTTTGTCAAAACTCTCGTTATATTAAGTTATTAAACAAATATGTACATTTTCTGGTAAATAATAAATAATAATTAGGATTAGAAAATAGTGGAATTTTCACATATGAAGGGTACAGGGAAAAAATCAGCAGTCACTTTTTAAAAATGGCAAATTTGTTGTTATAAAATTCGTTTTGATACAAAACGAATCTGTTCTTTATTTAGAGCACGATTAAAAACGAAAATTTAAAAAAAAAATTTAGCATTACATAAACATGTTTTTCTTAGATTAGAAAAAAGTGACTGCTGGTTTTTTCTCCTGTACACTTCATATTTATAAATAACGTGATAGAAATATGTTAATACTATTTAAATACACCAATTTGAGAATATTAATTTGGTAATATATTGTTAATTTGTAATATAAATTACCATCACAATGTGTTTGTACTTTAAATAGTTTAAAAAAAAACAGGTAATATAACATTATTCATACTTACAAATTTTTGAGAAAGGAATGAAGTAATACACGTCGATCCTAATGCTCCTTTTCCTCCGTACACGAGAATTTTGCCAACAGTAGCAGCCATGTTACTCTTCGGTTTTAATTAACTAACTGCAGCTTACAAAATAACACTTTTACTCTATAATGACAATTACTGGACGGGTAACAATAAACGTCCAGGGTCAGAAGTGCTATAATATGATTTAAATATAATATTATGTAATATTCGAGATTGTAGTGAGGCCCGAGGTAATGGCAAAGTTACTTTGACTCCCGCCAGGTAGCATATAACATATATATATATATATATATATATATATATATATATATATATAATATACATAGGTATATTCCTGGAGATTGGTGAAGGGCCATGGGCGTATGTACACACAACAGGTATTAAGGAATTTTAATGAACTTGTACAGATAACATTAGATCGATCTGCCGTTGGAGTTTTGCCAATAACGATATCTCGCTGGCAAAAGGACCATATTTTAATTCAGGATTGTCATTATTATCAGCGATTCGTATTGAAATTGCCGTAACTTCATACTTTGAAGTCTGTGAACTCATATTGTAATTTTCTATATGTATACGATTTGCACTGTAAGTTAGGTCACGAGTCACGCCATCGAGTATCGGCTTGCATCTAGATTACGATTAAAGAGTAAAGATATTTTAAATAATAAATAGGTATTAAATATTATCTTAATTCGTAATCTGGATGTCAATTACATACAGGTAATTCATGGAAAAATAAACGGGTATATCAGTGACTTGAGTAATCACTATTTTCTCAACATGGCTGCCGGTGACCTCCCGTACCAATACACGGCCGCCCAAAAATGTCGGCAGCTGTTTTGTGGTTATCAAATGCTTCCGACATACCTGTCTTTTTTTCGTTATGTGAGTTACTACACAGAATACAAAAAAATATAATTTCTAACATAAATTTTCTGAGTTTTTATGAGATCCCTGCTGAAACGTACAATATTTATATTGGCGGAAAATTAATTTCAAATTAGGATTTTACATATAGGTAGAAGGTAGATTATTCTAATATATTTAATATTTAATTTTATTTATTCTATGGAACTATATTGTGATAACAGCTAATAAGACAATGACAAGTGTCGACTAATTAATGTCATAGATTAAATATACATAATAGCATGACAAAATAAACTATTTTGTCATGCATAATAGTTAATACCATAGATAATAAATACACACACACCACGGTTAATAATACATAGATATTAATATAGATAAAACTATATGTTATCACTTATCATTCAATCGGACAAAATAATTAATTTTTTTTTATATTCGTCTATATATCATATTTCAAAATATTGTTATTATTTGTAAAAGCTGTAATGGTTTTGTTAGTATAAGTAAATATTATATGTAAATGTAATGTATCATCTATGCTTAAAAAACTTGAGAGGTTTGCCAACTAGGTATTTATAGTGGACATAACAGTTGGGTCAATAATATATTAAAATAACAATTTATAAATAAAATTATAAACATTTAATAATTTCGTGCTAAATGAATATATACACGGGTAAGTCGTTCTAGAAAACAATCTGTATTGTTCGTTTTGTTCATGAATGCTCCAAATATGATATTAAACATTTAAAAAGTATTTGACGGAACTTAAGTGTTCATGAATTATATCATTTGTTTCAGATTATACCAAGAAATGCCCTGATTGCAATAAGAGTTTTCATTCGGCTACATCTCTGTTAATTCATTTCTTTAGTCATGTCAAAGAAGAAAAATCAGATAGCATCAATGTTGACCAAAACGATGTTCTCACGAAAAACACTGATAAGAAAATATATAAAAACGAATCATCTGCACCATTAAACTTAAGTAAATGTGGTACACTTTATCCATGGAAGTATTGTTTGACGACATTTGAAGAAAAGGGTATTGACAACCCAAAAAATGTTTTTATAAAAACTAAGTCTTGCAAAACAAAAGTCAATAAAAATAAAAATTACAAATGCCACTTATGTGGAAAAAAATTTGGTTGGTCCACTGATCTCAAAAGACATATACTAATTCATACAGGTATTTAAATGTATCACTAGATAATTTAACACTTTTTATAATTGTATTTTTGTTTTTTTTTTTAAATGGATGTTACTGAAATAATTGTCTGATATTTTGCTAAATTATTGAGTTTTTTATTCTGATTTAAAATCTTTCAATGAAAATCTGTAAACTATGCTCATGGATATTATTTTTAGTACGAATAATAAAAAAATAAAATTACAATATGAATAATAAACAGTTCTTTATAAAAAAGAATTATAGATGTCTAATTATTATAATTTGCTTTTTTGCGGTTTAACAATAATTTTTACTGTAATAAATAATTTTGTTTGGTTCTTATAGGAGAGAAACCGTTTAAGTGCAGTATTTGTCAAGCAGCTTTTACTAGAAATTTTTTACTGCAGAAGCATTGTGCACGAATTCACAAAACATTGTCAGAAGATGAGTTAAAAAATCTAGAAAATAATGTTTTTGCCAAAGTTGCCGAAATCAAAATGAAAATGGAAGAATTAGAGTGTCAAAAGGAACTTGGTAAGTCTGATTCTGATGAAAAAATAAAATAAATATGTATTCCTCATAATAAATATTTTAATGGTAAGAAATAGCTTATATTTAAAGGGTTTTTTTGTAACTGCAGTCTTCGTTTCTAATCTAATTCCATCTAATCTCTTATTAATAATTTTTTTGTTTTTAAAACTTCACTAACAGTTGACATTTTATTATAAAAAATAAAAAAAAGTTTTAATCAAAATAGTTTATTAACAAAAATTAAATCTTGACTTAGTATTATTTCAATGATTTTTATTTTCTAATATAATAACATGATGAGTGCATAAGGTGGCAGTGTGCAATGCTCACTGTCACAGCACACAAAAAATTGTCTAGTATAAAGCGGTCGACGTGTCCTTTTACGATGACGGATCAACGCCGCCTCATTCAAGAATAATTTAATGTATTCAGAAACCTATTCCTCTAGCGAGGTAATGGTGACCTTTAACAAGCCGCTCGTATAGACAAGTAGATTTATTTACATTTGTTTAAATTACGTCAATTCACTACCTGTGTAATGACAATACTTTTGTATACAATAATAAGGAACAGCTAATTTTTAATGTATATAAAAACTTGTAACCAGACAATAATTTTAATTTTAATTCTTATATAATGTAAGTAAAATAAAGACATTTACAGGTAATCAAATAGTCATTTTAGTAGTAACAATACAGACTTGTGTTGCTGACAATAAAATATATTATTATTGATTTTTAAGACAATATGTAAAACTGATTATTGGATTTGTCAAGTTATTGATAATTTTTCGAAATCTGTATTGTACCTGTTATATCTTTAATTACAAAAATCAACAAACCGTGTATTTCATTATAAAAATTTAAGTGAAATTATATATAATTTATGTATATTAATATAATTTAAGTTTATATAACAGTTGTGTCATAAGTTTGTAGCTTCTCAATGTCGTTTGTTTCAAAACTTTGAAGTACAAACTAAAATGTTTTATTTTTGTTAATTAATATGATAAATATCAATAATATTTATTGCAAACCTGGGCATCATAAAAATATATTTATTTTTTAATATCAATTATAATAAATACAATGTTATTTTTATTTGAACGAATTTAAATAAAAAGTACAAAATTATTTAAACAATATTTAGGTTTTAAATAAATAACTTTTTGTTTAATCAAAATTTAAATAATAAAATCAAACATATTTGTATCAAATCAATTATTTAGAATCATGTTATTTAAAATGTTTTAAAAAATATATTAAAAATACTGTAAATTTAATTAATATCTCATTAATTTTAAATTATTAGCTTTGATGCATGAGAAGGTATTGTTTGTTATATTAAAATAAAAAATACCAGGTTTGATTTTTAATACATTGTAATCATATTTTTTTTTTTTTATAAAGTAATTCAATAACGTGACAATATTTATTTTAAAATTTTTAGAGTAGCCAAATATTATATTGATAATTTAGTAATAATGATGACTATTATTTAAGAAGAGTGAAACAGAAAGACAATATAGTTAATATTATAGTACTGGTTTGCCATTTGTATTTCTTTTATTGGTTATTGAATATGATGTATTCATTATTTTCTATACTTATATATGTTTAATAAATTATACATATATTTACTATTGATTTTACATGTATGCTATTTGTTAATAAGTAATTTTTGAATTTATAATTTAATATCACGACAATAATGTTAGATATGATTAATACTATATTTCAATCTTAGTCTAGTACTTGTACTCTAATTTTTAATTACCATTTACTTAAATAGAAGTTGTACCATTAAGACCAAGACAATTTTTCATTAAATAACGAACAATGATTTACAAAAAATAAATTATTTTAAATAATTACTTATTAAAAACAAAATAGTATTTGATTAAAATTCATTTTTTATTTGCCTGTTTCTAATAACTTTTTATTTAAAATAATTTAATATTTAAATAAATAATTATTTCTATTTGTATTTAAATAAGAAAATATTCGTACCTTAAGTTTATAAGCCTCATATATATCGAGTAAATATATTACTGCAACAATTTGTATTCATTAATTGTTAGTTCATTTTTTATAGTCTCGTATAGTCTTTTTAATATCTAGTCTTTGTGTTAATTTTTTTGTGATTTTAAATTGTGAGTGTTTATGTATAAGACAATAATAATAATAATAATGTAACATTGACAATAAAAATAAAATGTTTTGTTTGCTTAAATAAAGTTTTATTAAAAAAAAATAATATTATAGTGACTAAATTATTTATAATACAAACTCGTTGTTCAACATGATAACACAATATTAAAAAATTATAAATTATTGCAATATTAAGATACTTACACTGAATAATTTGGTATTTGAGGGGTATGCGAGTGTTACCTCGCTAACAAAAATACTAGTTTATCAAATCTACTATAATAATAAACATATATTATATTTCTATATAAAAAAAATCACTATTACATATTGACTTCCCAGAGTTTTAAATTATTGTCCATGACTTCGTGGAACCACGCTCGCTTTTGATCGTCTTTGAACGCTGGTGCCAAAGTTTTGAGTCCAAGTTTTAACAGCGCTTCGTTGCCCAGCATGCCGTTTAGCTCACTCAGTAGCTTCGGGTCTCCGTGCAACTTCAACAAGGAAGCGTACGTAAAAAAATAGAACTTCACCCTAAGCCTGTGTAAAGCCCAATTTTCCACGGTTTCGTTGCCGCTAGCTGACTGAATTTTTCCCACGTGCTCTGCGTACCACGGCGAGAAGTAACCTGTCAATTCTTGGTTAGAGATCTGAGACACTCCTTTTGATTTCAGCCGTTCTTTGATTACCTTGTAAGTATTTGCGTTATACACGTAAACCTTAAACATAAAACAAAATGGGCGGTTATTTTAGATTCATTGCAAGGTTTCCTACAGGGAGGGGCAGGGGGAGACAACTGCTCCCTCTAACTTCTTGGCAAGTTAAAAAAATAATAACATACACTGTACATGTCATCTAATGCATAATATTTAAGTGTATTTAACGCATTTGTTTGCCTGCCTTAACAGGGTTGAATTTAGAATTGTTTTCTAGGAGGGGCACTGTGAGGATAGAACTTAACTTAAAATTTTACGATTTTATAAAGTACTTTAGCTAATATATAAAAAAACACAATTGAAAATTTCTTTAAATCGTATACGACGGGTCTTTTTTGTTGTATATAAATAAATACATACATTTTTTATGTTACACGCATAACGAATTCTTCCAATTTTTTCAGTTATTCATAACCAATATTACTGATTTGTAGTTTCAAACATGAACACCCTTCAATAGACAATAAATGTTAAATCAATTAAATTAATTACGATTTCTTTCTTTTATTGTTTCTTTCAAAAATGTTAAAAGGCAAGAGTTTCTTTAAAAAAATCGTCTTTTTTCAATAAATTACGTTTTTTTTTAAATAACTTTAGCGTTTTCGATGGTAGTACTTTTGTCCAAAACATCTAGTTTCAAACTTTCTAAAATTGTTTTTAAGTGATTCAGGTCGTTAATCAGTTAATACTAATTAAAATGTAACCATAAATAAGGAAAAAAACACGTTTAAATTTTAATAAAAATTGCTGAGTTTTGCGATAAAAATAAAACAATTGAAATATATTTTAACGATATTAACAATATTATAATAGCTATTGAGATTCTGCGAAAATCCGCCTATGCCGTGCCTCTAAAACGGTTTTCGTTGTACTTGTTCGCGCTCTATGATGTTTTTTGAACAAGGTCGTCAACCAAAGGTATATATACACTGAAACACTGTTTAATGCGTTTCTGTTTTTTAGGAATTGTACGGGTAATAACTAAAAACAAATATAAATAAAATACACGATGATTATTGTTGTGCGTGTTTTCGACGACTTTGTCGACACAACGTCGTAGAAAATGGGTAATAAAAAATATTATGCGGTGTATAGATTTTTTTGAAAAAGAAATATATTATTTAGTCATTTTAAATGTGTTGTGTTTTTTTGACACGAGGCATACATAATATTATAATTAGGTACCTGATAAAGAGAATTGCCGGTGATGTATGACGTCACATAATGAGATCCAAAACTTTTGACGAATTCGATGACCGACACACTATCGCCGACATTAACCGAGGCCGCTTGTTTGGCCACCGGTTCGTGAAGGTCACTGTTGTCCATGTCCGTCGCCAGATTAGCTATCTCCCTGTGCCTAGCCACCCTGACGAGCACATAACAATAATCGCCTGTTACGTAAGACATTTCTAAACCTGCAAAAAAAAAAAAAAACGTTTTACGCGTCATGTACTTTTAGTGATGATTAAAAAAAGTAACAATAAATATAACTTTTCGACCATCACCCAATTGGTATTTTCAAGTACATACGGCATACCTACACCATATAGATATATGATATATATATATAAATACATCTTAGGAGTCTAGGTGAAAATGTCCAGAGTAAAAAAAATAATGTTCGAAAATTAATACGACCAAATATGCAAAAGTACCCGAGTCAATTTTAAATTTAATATCCGTTTTTTTGCCAATGCCTATACATAAATCACGTATTTAAATAGTATAAAAATTACAAATGTTTATAAGTGACAATTAATATTGTATATATACTCGTATGTCTTATTTTTATTAGGTTAATAATTACATCAAAATGCTATCGACCGAATTACAAAAAATCGTAACGATAAAAATTAGAACATGATGTTTCAGAATTTCTATAGGTTCTGAAATATATTCTTACTATTCTTATTGCCTGTAGGGCGAGCAGGGGCGGTCATATGCCCGATGTTATGTTCCACACAAAAACCTCAGGACCTCCTGAACACAATGGTGTTATTATTTTTTTTTTTTTGGTACGAATATTAAAAAAGTCGTAGAATTTTCAAAATGTGGCTGCTTTTAGGAATACCCTATATAACGATATTATAGATCTTAACGATAGATATTATTAGATAGATATTAACGATTCATATGCCAGTATATCATAAAATTATAAAACACTGACGTAAAATGTATTATACAAACAAACGAAAACGCCAAGTATTTTGGGCATGTTGTTAATTTTCATTTTTTTAGCAAAGAATTGAGGAGGCCGGTGCAATAAGGGCTTTCAATCAAAAACGGTGTTCTGAGAAAATAGGCTCCAAAGTTTTACTACACGGCGCACTGCACGCCCATTAAAAAATTATGAATAGTATTACAAAACAATCGCAGAAAAAGGTATCATTGACATATTATATTGTATTATTAAAAAGTCGTTTAAGACAAATTATATAACTTGTACCCTTTTGGTTCTCATCGGTTAAACTTTAAGTATAGTTAATATACATGAAACCTGGGCAATTTATAACTAAATAACAAACAATTATTCGCATAATTATTTGGTAAACCACACTTACCGCTTGTACAACATTTTGGAGCAATTTTTAGGAAAACATTAGCGATTCATAAACGTTTATAATACTATTATATACCAACCTAAATTTCTGGCCAAAGTAGATTTCGTCCAGCTTCCGGTAAACGCCAACCACGGCTTATCCAACCTTTCTACCGAAAAGTCTCGAAAATAAGCTTGCATCAGCTGTTTGACATTGTCACAAAATTCCATGTGAAAGTCCCCTTGGAAAACTTGACCTCCGCCGATGCTTCTCTTCAGGCTGTGTATAAAATAAAACCATCAAGTCAGTATATTATTAACAAGGCGCGCAGGCGAACAAAAACTAAATCGGTATATTTATGTGTATATTGTTTACACTCTCAACAGGGTCGATAATTAATTATGACGGTAATTTCACGTTACGTAAATTAACCGCTATTTATCATAATAGAATTAATAACAATAATAATTAATAATAACCCGTTTCCTATTGATTTTGTACAACGTTAACAAAGAACAACGTTAAAAAAAGTTATACATTATTAATATATTTTTTTTTATAAATATGACGAATGCAAAACACCATTATGCTTTTCTTTCTAATATTTTTATTGTTCATAAATCGTAAGGAATAATTTATTAATTTAAAAACATTTTAAAGTTAAATTTAATCTTATATCTAAATATTTCTGCTGAGTGTCAAGTTTATATTGTTTCAAAGTACATAACTTAACTTCAAAATGTTAAAAAAACAAGATTGTTTTATATTTCTTTTAGTGAATGTACGACAAATTTGTCAGAAGGGAATTAGTATTCATTCAACTTGATTCGAGTAAATTAAAGTAAAATTTAAACCGTTATTGTAAATCTTCAAATAAATTTCGTTTCTTTTTTATCACAAACTTCATTTTATTTCGCATATTTTTTACTCTAAAATATATTCTTTAAAATATATATTTAAAACGGGTTTTAACTAATTTTTCATAATTTTGATGACTGGTTTCCTACTGATAAATGCCGTCTGATTTACAAAAAAATAAGTAGAAAGCGTCTCTTGCCTTTGTTTTCCCGCCAAATTCGTGAAAACGTCGACTGTAGGTTCTCTGAATATCCACGAATGGTCCGTGTCGTTCCTGGGGACAACCCTCATACTTATACTGAAGTATCCATAACGGTTGAAGACGTTAATGGCGTTGCCCACTCGAATGTCGGCGTTCGCCTTGTGTTGAAGTCTAAACGCGTACAGTAATAACACGACCACTGCCTTGGCCCCATCGAGGCCCATTGCTCAACCTATAATGGAAACACGACAAACAAAAACAATATATATTTATTAATTATTATTACTTATAATGTTTAATTGCTGCACATTCTCCGTACCTAACTATTGCGCGTCACGTTTTTTGTTAAAAAAAATAATTAAATAAAACCTAGTAAATTCGATCCTTTTGGCTTTTGACACGAACGGATCAATTATTGTTCGACTCATACACAATATAATGATACATACATGTATTTACGTGTAATCTGTACCCACCAAGTCTAAAAATGGAATAATCTCAAGTATTTTCCGTAGGTAATAAAAATTAAGACTATACTAAGAAATAATTGTACGTACAGACGGCTGTGTGTCACGAGGATTAGCCTGCAGCTTGATTATTTATTTATTGAAAATAAATATTTTCTCATTTAGTAGTCAAATTAACCGAAAAACAAGCTAATAACAATTCCAAAATTCATAAATACTTATGAAGATTGGATGCGGTCTGTTTTGTTTTTAAACCAAAAAGCCAGAAAATATTTCGACTACTTAGGATGGTCCGATTTTAATTTTGCAAAGACATACGAGTTCTTTGGCAACTCTAATAGGTAATCTAGTAAACAGATTTTTGATTTGGTGCTTTTTTAATAGAAAAAATTGTATATTTCATTTATTTACTTACAAGAAGCTGACATTTTTAAATGAAAATTGGCTTCCTACATAACATAGTAAAGTTAGGCTAAGAACTCGAATCTCTTAATAGAATTTAAATTGGAACATCCTATATAGTCGAAAATTTGTTTGGCTTTTGGTCTAAAATAAACCAAAATGGCTTTTACTCATAGAAAAAATTATTTAAATTAAAAATACGAGTAATATCTTGAAGCGTATACAAATTAACCGGTAAATAATTTAATATGGTTCAAAATGATTAAAATTTATTTTTTCTTAAATATTGCCTATACAAAACTCCTTAATAACAGACCGCATGCAACTTAAGCAAATTTACTTAAAATATTTTTTTATTTCCAGTAGATTTTTTTCTCATAATTTCAATGGTATTTTTAGATAATTCATGAATAATACTTCCGAGTTAATTTAGTTTCTAGAAATCTTAAATGTGTTTCTGATTTACTAGGTTAAACTGTGATGTGTAATTATTAGTTCAATGACTAGGACTCTATTTTGGTAGTTAATTTATTTTTTGGACTATCACAGCATCCTTGAAAGCGATTTAAAAATGTTTTTTCATCTCAACTTGTTTAAGCAGACTGAAAATAACTCGCTTAATTTTAGTTTTAGAGTAAAAGTACCCATTATAAAATTAAAAGACAACAATATTCCGGAGGGCAAGACGGTGCGTTTATTTCATTATTCTAGGTATAACTCTCAATACATAGTTTAGAAATAACGACTATTTTAACATTTTTAAATGACTGTAACTTTCCAAAAAATTAATTTTTTAAAAAAAACGCACCGTCTTGCCCTCCGGAATATTGTTTTCTTTTAATTTTATAATAGGTACTTTTACTCTACAACCAAAATTAAGCGAGTTATTTTCAGTCTGCTTAAACATGTTTTTACCACTGAAAATCATCGGTGCGACGCCCTCTTAATAAATTATTATTTTCATTTAAATCATATCAGTTTTAACAAAAAAAGATCTTCACATTATACATTTTTGATTTTTCAAATTTTCTACAATTTTTGTAAAAACAAACTGTAAATTTCGTTAAAAAAACGCGAATTATTCAGAATGAAAACATCGCTTATCACCTTCAAACCAACTAGTGATGGTCAACTTTTTATTATTTCTACTATATTTTATTTTTTTTACAACTGATTTAGTACTATTATTAATTATTTGTTTGATATCCATAACCGATGATTTTGTGATTGAACGCACGACATGACACGGTTATTAAATATTAATAGTCTTATTTACTATTATGAACGGAGGCCAGCGAAGGTGTCACGTACATATTACAATAATAATAATATATCACCATAATAATGTCATGGTAAACTGATTATAAAAATATTTGTCACTACTACAATTCCGTATAGTACAGTGTTATAAAAGATGCGCTTTTTTTTGTAGTGAAAATCGTTGACTTGTACATACAGTGGTTAAGGCGATATGGTAGTGAAATTACTAACTTTATTATTTTTCAATGGTTTGAAAAAAAAACTCACACTGTTCAACTATATAATTTTCCACATAGAGTAGTTACAGGTTACTAACTGATATTGTTTTAGCCTGTAGAAAATTAAAATTGCCGCTTATATGAATTATACAACAGTGAAGTTTATTTCAATTTCGCTTTATAAAAACGATTAAAAATATTAGAATATCTAATTTCAAGAATGAATCATTAAATACTTACCGGTTTCGTATGTATGTTATACAAATTAATGGGCTATTTTAAGTAAAATGAATGATGAAGTCTAACCAGATTGCCCATAAAGTGTAAGAAAAGAGGACCCACTTCTTATATTTGATTACCAAGTATGTACTTTCACATAGTATTTATTTACAAGTACACAATTGTCGCTGAATTTAGTTTTACATATTTTAGGAAAATATGTTTAATTATAAATATATGCAATTTTAAAATACTAAAATAAGTTTTATCACTAGGTATAAGTAATTTATAACCGACAGATGATATTTTAAAGATACAATTACCTACATATATAATATATATGTATATTAACTAAAAATTATTACGGTTAACGAAAAACATGTTTAAAGTAATTCAAAGTAAAATAGTTTCAATTCCCGTATTATTTTTTTTATAATTTATTCTTGCACCGTTAAAACAAATTATAAAAAAAAAACAAAACGCCAAAAAATGTATATTTTAAAAATATAACGACACATCTAATCTTACAATTAGATAACACTGGAGAAAATCAGCAATGTCTAAGAAATATATTTTCTTCTACATACATATACACATATAATTTATATTATTACTCTGGGTTTTCTTTACAAGTTTTTCAAGTTGTTTTACATTTCTCAATTATAACTATGATTTAAAAAATACTTTGTAAATACGTGTACTTATCAAACTAACTTTCTAAACTATACAAAATAAAACAGCCAATAGACATTTACGTGTAATCATAATGTAATAAAATCAAAAAAGGAGTTATCTCTCTGCTATATTTTTTTAATTTGAAATTCGTTCATTCCTGCCATAACGACTATTACATTGATTTATTTTATGGTATACAAAGTAATATTATTTTTTTCAATTATTACATTTTAATAAAAATAATTATAAGTAAACATTGGGTTTTTAACAATTTATGGAGTTTGTTAATATTTCTATTAGCGCATTTCATAACAATTGTATAAAACGTGGAATTGTCGTTCCAATATAATAAAATTATATAAAAATCCTCGTTAATAAAAAGTGACAACAATCCATAGTTCCGCAAATAAAATTTCCTTTTTCAAATAGGAATAGTACCTATTCCTAATACCACCTGTGTATTCTTAGTTTTGATGCAAAACGTAAAAAGCCCAAATAAAAATATTTAATATCTGGAAAATATTAAATTATAATTTCCAAATGACATTATTCAACTTTCTAGTATTTCAAAGTCGATTTATATAAAAAAAATAGCTACTATTACATATATTTAATATATTCTAATACATATAATTACAACGTGAACGAATCGCAAATAAATAATACAGGAAACTACTAATCATGCATTCAGTAGCCAGTACTATTTATAAAATATAATGTAAACTTGTTATCAGAACGGATTATTAATTGTGACAGCGCTTAATGACGATATAATTTATATCATGAAATTTGCAGCACTCTCTAAAGCGACTATCTCTCATTATCTTGTCAAAGCGCTGAGAAAAATCTAAACCTAAAAGTACTACAGATGTTTTTTTGTATATTTGACGAGATTTCCGAAAACATAGTTTTCCAAAATTGTTAAAAATAAATATAAATTTAAATGTAGTTTTCAGGGTACAGCCTTGAAATTCGGTTAGCAGACATATTATTATTATGCCATAAGTGCTAGTTATAAATTATAATTTAACAATTCATTTATTCAAATATAATAACAAATTTATTTATTTTATTATATTATAATATTATGTAAATGTCGTTTAACGCTCCAAATACTCGTATATAAACGTTTTTCATGTAGGTATAAGTTATTTAATCACATTTAACTATTTTATTGACCGACAACGATAAACACCCTGACCTCTTATGTAACTCCAAAATTTCACAGTAATTAATTCTTATAGTTTTAACTTTTATTAAATTTTTAAAATACACCTTATTAAGTCTCACATTAATTAATTATTAGTTAACTCTTAAATCCACTACAAAAATTTGAAACGACAATATTTCAATTTTAACATTCATATACAACCTTGGTACTATTTTAATAAAAATTCAAATAATTTTTATACATAAAAATACATTTAAAATAAAACTCAAATAATAACAATCATAATTACAATTTCTAATAAATTTGTACTTAAACAAATTTTTAAAACAAAAAAATTGAAATCATATGTATATTTTAATTTTTAGTTAGTTAAATCAAAGCTTAAAAAAATTAGAAAATAAAATAAATATTTATTTTAAAAAATATTTCAATTAACAGGTTTTTTTGAACAGTCACATAAAAAAATAATATTTAAAACGACATATAAATACGACGTATGAGACTCGTCGGTCGTTAGCGCTGAAGATGACAACATTATTGCAGTAATACGTCTTATACGCGGAGAGTATATAATTTTTTATAAGTTGCTAGAGTTTTTTCCAGACATATAAATTTATTTAAACATATTACAAATTGCATAAATAATTTTTCGAATTATCGTATGCTTATAACCTAATTTTTGGCAAATAATCCTAAGTTACTGAGAAAGGATCAAAACAGAAAATGGTTCATACAACATGCAATTTTGTGTTTTGAAGATTTCTAAGTCATTAAACAGAAAATACCTTAACAATAATTTTTACAGCTATTTTTGTTGTTT